CACTCAAATCGGTTAGGTCAGTGATGACTCGGGCTTTCACCAGCTTCCGCAGGAACTCCTTCTCCCGCTGGATGTTGTGCGTCCAGGACTGGAAGGAAATGGGAAACACAGGAGGTCAGCAGCTATCCTGGCCAAGCATGCTCCTGTCTACCACGTCCTGGGAGACTCTGGCTGGGTCAGGGCAGTGGCTTCTGCCAAGGAGAGCAGACCCTGCTGTGGAGCAGAAGAGCCCGTGCAGACCAAGGGCCTCCTCTTATCTAAAGCCGAGTTCCAGCCAGCAGGATCAGACCCATGTGCCTGAGGTAGGAGGTCTCCCCATGGGCTGGGGAAGGGTTTTTTTTTTGGCACGGTGAGATCTGGGTAGCCCAGGTGCCTCCACCTTGGGCAGATGGAGCCGGCAACAGTGCTCTCCCAAGACACCCCTCACCAGAGTCCCACGGCGCAGCACTGATGGTGATGTGTGCCCGGGAACAGAGCTGGCAGAGAACGTGGTGGCAGGACAGGTACCCACACACAGCTCCCTGAAAGGGAGGTCTCTGGGGAATGCATGGGGGGGCGTGCAGCTGAAAAGCCCCAAGACCAGCCCCTCTGAGGCCAGCTCTTGCCTCCGCTAGCCCTACCAGGAGGAAATCACATGCTAAAGGTTACACTAATACAATGTGAAGGGTGAAACGGTCAGATCTCCCAGCCAGGCATTTCAGAGCTATGATTGCTATAGCTGGTGTCAGCCCACCCAGATGCAGTGTTCCCTGCAGCAGGCTTTAGCCATAATCACAGCATCTGCCATCACCCCCCTGTGCTGGTACTATGAAAGCACTTAATGAAGGCAGTTAAGTGGTTTGTCCCCTGGGGAGACCAAGAGAGAGCAGGGAAAAGCAACTTTCTCCAAAATCTCCCAACAGGACAAGAATCCCAGTAAATGAATCCAGGTCTCCCGCACAGTGCTCTGGCCAGCAGGTAATCTGAGCTCTACATGATAAAACCACTCCACAGGAGCCTCCCTGAAATGGCCTCGAACCAACAAAGCGCCAGCCCAATGAGCCCTCTGAGGTATCTGAACCCAGTTTACCCACTGCAAAACAGGAGGCACCTGCCTGCAAAGCACTGGTGTGTGGCTCAGTCTGTCCCGTCCAGGACAAGCAGCTCAGCCATGACTGCTGCGTGGCACTGACAGCCCCAGTCATGGCGTGCAGCCTGATGCCAAGAGGTCCAAGGGACTGAAGGTCCCTCTCTAAACCTCCAACGTATTTTGGAAATAACTCTCTTGCTGCTACTGTGCATTTCCAAGCCACTTCCATCCCCTCGGTGCACAGCAATGCCAACAGTTAAAGCTGCTAATGAAAGTTCAGGCAGGTCTTATCTTGCAACCTGTGCTCAGAAGTCCTTGACTTCCCCTGCTTCCAGTGACAGCGTTGTTACCTGAATGCCCCAAAGGGTGCACCAGCACCGGGACCAACAGGGCCGCATGTGGTAAACTGTGCCAGTGCTTTTTGGGACTCTGAAATGCAGAAAAGCCCATCTCTAAACTGAAAAGATGCTGCCCAGAAACAACTCAGTGCTTGGCTTCTGCTAGTGTAAAGGCAGAAACTGAACACTGGCACTGGGAAGAAAGCTGGCTCGGAAAAAGGGAAAAAAGCCTGAATTTCAGAAAGCAGCAGTGAGAGTGATGGTGGGGCAGAGCAGAGGGAGCTGGGAGAGCAGTGCTGTGTATGCCTGACACTTGGAGCAGGACAGCCAAGCTCCCCCAGTGTGCTGGCAACAGTCCCACATGTGGCATGTCAGCTGGGGGTCCCGGGCTTGGCCCCCACCACGCAGCAAGGTCTCTTCTGACAACACAGCCCCTTGCTAGGAACGCACAGCACCGGCGGAGGCAGCCAGGAGTGCGCGTGTGCTCCTGCCAACAGGCAGCCAGCAGCTGTCTGCTGGCACAGGGGCCGTGCCGGGAACACGAGGTCTCCACGCATCCGCTCGCATCTGGCTGGGCTTGCTGTTCAAAGCCCATCTGAGCACCGGGGAGCCCGATGTGCCCGGTACGTCATCGCACAAGCTGATCCCTCCTTCACGTCTTTCAGCTGCATCAAACCTAAGAGAAGCCAACTGGTTTCATCCAGCACACCTGCTTGTGTCCCTCTACAGACCGTAACTGGGCAAGCAGAGGCTTCTAGGCAAACTCAAAGCACCTAAAACATCACCCCAGGCCACATGCAAGTGCCTTATCTGATGGCACAGGGAATCTGCTTGCCTGAAAGGTACAAGCAGAGCAGGAATTTAAGTACAGGAGGTGTGTAATGAAACCCTGGGTGACACAAGCGCAGTCTCTCATGTTACGGCCAGCTCTGCTGCCAGCACTGACTGTAAGGCTGCTGGCAAATCTGATCAACCTCTGGCTGCTCAGCATCCACGTTGCTCTACACCCCAGGCACTGCCACGCACTCTTCTTCCCAAGCAGAAAGCCACAAGTAAGGGAATTCAGCCTCCCACTTGATCCATACGTCTCAGTGGTGTCTGCGGCGGTACTCTCAAGTGTTTTGTGGTCGAATGTAAGGCCACAGAGGAAGAGGATTCTTGGGTAAGGACAGGCTTTCGTCCCCCCCCAAAAGCATAGCAGAGGGCTCGCTGTGGTGCTGCTCCCCCCGCGCCAACAGCAATGAGGGCAGGAGGGATGAGGCATGTCTTCAACACCAGCTCCGGTTACTGATTACAGGAGAGGGACTCACCCCACTGACAGACAGAGCTAATCAGGCGAAGGAAGTTGCATTCCAGCCCCAGCGCCGCAGTGGGGAGAAGAGCCGGAGCAGATTTCTCAAAACTGCCCGAGAGAGGCAAAGACCTCACTCCACTGCCCTGACAGGGGAAAGACAACCAAATACACCCTAAACCCAGCAGGTGTTGGGGCATATACACCCTAAACAGCACCCTGGGAGGCAGACACTGCTGGCAGGATGGAGGGCTCTGTGAGCTGGCTGCAGGGTCTTGTGAAAAGCCAGGTGCTGGCAGGCTCAGGTTTGCTTTGGAGCCAGGACCGTGTTATGGCTGTTCTAAGGGGAAGTTCCCTTCTGTCAGCCCTCACTGGGTAAGCCGAGGTTCTCTGCGTAACCAAGCTCGTGGGCAAGTTGTCCCGGAACTCTTCCAGCTGGTGCAATGTCCTGAGCTGCAGTAGGACAGTAAGGAAGCGGTCGGGTGCTCGGGTCCACCCACGTACCCACGGCCAGGGCTATGGTGTCAGAGTGCTCGTTTCGGTATTTTGAGCAGAGTGATGTGAGCAGGATCCACACCTGGAGAAGGATCACATGTGGTGCCTGCAACGCTGGTGGTTTATTCCTGCTATCGCAAAGAAGCCTTCTCCTGCCCTCAGACGCTGGATGTGCTTTGGCAGTGGCAAGATGCTCTCTGTCCCTTCTGACTGCTTTGGCCCTCTCTTCCCGTGCACACCGGGATGTTACTGCCTCATTCCCTACTCCTGTATGCCGGATTATTCACAAAGCTCATGCCTCGAGTTCTAAGCTAAACCTCAGCATCACAAGCAGAAAACACCAGCTCTTCTTTGTGAATCTGCTCCTCCAGGCGGCAACAAAGCAGCTCGGAGTGTTCACTGCCACCTTCCTGTCCCCGCACATCACTACCACCACAGCTCCTGAGACCTGGCAGGCTGGCTCTGCCCTCTCCCCCCTCCGCCGCTTGCATCGAGCAGGCAGCCGGTACAGCTTAGAATCACAGAATCATTCGGATGGAGAAAGACACTTAAGATCATAGAGTCCAACTGTTGGTTTCCACTTGTGCAAACAAACTGGCTGCTTGTTTGAGCCCACAGAGTAATGAACCAGAAACATCCCAGGAGGCTCCAGAGGCCTTCTTGCTGTTTGAGGATCAGGCTGGGATCTCCTTCCCTTTTACTTTGATTAGTAGATGTTTGCTCGTTTCAGTGGAGAGAGGAACTGCTCGTT